ATAAACCAAACCATCAAGTTGGTGTAGCAGACCAAAGTGCTATCACCGTTAAACGAAATATAAGTCTAGTTCGACGATGTATGCTTCGAATATCATTGTTAAAAGCGTGTTGCGTACATACAGGAATCACGCCGGTAGAAGCATCGAAAGTTTCCTCCTACAGAGAGCCTTATAGAGCTGAATGGCCTGTCGGCTGTGCACTTCGAGACCGTGTGAATAAGATCCTGATAGCATCCCGTAGACTTTTGGTAATCACGTTTCTGCCTAACTTATCTGCGCAGATTTTTACAAACTATTTCACCATTTTACTTAAAAACTGAGGTTTGACAATGATAAAATATGAACACTCCGGTGTCATTAGAACCTAATTAATAGATGTCGCAGGTCAAGTCTACCCAAACCATTCCGAAAATTTATTTAAATGCTAGCTTAACATAGCTCAAAAACAGAATAGCGAACTTTGGACCTGAAAATCTTGGTGGAATTTGCATGAATGTATTCTTAGAATTACGCCACTGAAGCTTTCACAATGCGTATACTGACCCCGTACACATTGCATTCACAAGAATAAATCATTTTTAAAGATACGGCACTTATTGGGAAACGTCTTTATAGTTAAAGGATATATATCTATGCTGGCATACTATCGAAAAAGAGTAGGTTTCCTTCTTATTACAATCGATACCGTAGTCCTTTACATTCGGTAGTAGCCCGCGCCTACATATGTCAGTTTATTACGTGGTCTCTCTCATTTCTATTATGAGTGCCTAAATGACTTAAAAGTAATTACCTGGTTAATTCCCTCAGTCCATAATTATAAGGTATCATTTTTAAGCGCGAAAACATTTCGTGAATGAGTTGGATCGACGCAATTTAAAAACCAAAAAGTACGCTCTAATATTAATATATCGAAAAATCCAACTTAAATGTGAGATAAAATAGTTTTAAAAAGTGGCTCAAATGAAAACGCTCATTTCTGCTGAAGAGGAAGTCATATATACGTGCTCTACGCGCATGCTGGATCCCAAATCTGAAAGAATTAATCTTCAGAGGGGGAGTCCCGGTGTTCACGAAGTGTTATAAAAGCAACTTTAAAGAAGAGTCATTAAAGCCCAACCCTCGGTACCGAAGAAGACTGCGCTATCTCATCAAATGGCAACAGTCTAAGTCACGGCCGTCAAATCGCTTAGACAGATAAAAAGCACGGATCGCTGTTTCTGGAGCGCGTTGGAGCCGAGCAGTAATGATGTTATCCTTTTTTCTCTCCTTGAAGTGCCAGTGACCCGTCGACTGAGTCTAAGATCCGGTACAGTGGCTGACCCGATACCCAACTGATGTGAAAAGCGTGACAAGCACGATGTCAGAGTTCAAACAGGATGGGCTATAAACGCGAAATTAAAATCTGGCTCTCGTTTTAAAGGACGACCAGGTTAGCCTGACGCAGGACAAAATTCCAAGCCACGACCTTCAGCACTTCAGATCGACATAGGAATGCGATGGAATGCAACTAGAGGGCTTTACAGTCAGTTTCCTTTCTTTCCCACGCGTGACTGGTAACGAGATACTGACGCGATATGAACCTTCATCTAGCGCGTGCCACGGACACTTAGGCCGACTCCGTGCAATCTGATTGACGCATGCCATAAGTTTACGACTATAAATGGCAATGGCGCTATTCATTTGGGTGATACTTTATCGCAAAATTAGTGTGCATGCTCAAAGCATTACAGCTGGATATGCGAAATATACGTGTCGGTTACCACATATACTTTGGTCATTTACTTGGGGAAAACGTAGAATGTACAACTTAAGGCAGATCTGAAAAAGCAACAAAGTTTTGTCTGGCGCAAAGATACATTCAAATCAAAGGAACCCAAGAAAATATAAATAATTCGGATGAGGTGTACAACTGCAAGTATGGATAGGTGGACACAAATTATAACAAGCTAGTCCGAGTAGAGTTAAGGTGCTGTGGACAATGACAGAACTCAGAGATCGTTTACACTTTAAAGAAGACTACTAGCGAATATGAAAACTCTGATTGCCATCCCAGTCAGTTATAATCTACTCCCACGTAAATATCAACTAACACCAGGATCAGAAACCGCATACCTCAGCTCGCACACAGTTAATTATTTCAAGGGAGACCAGAATTCCTTGAAACCCGGACTTAACCAGTCAAATAGTTAGCTAAATAATTTACCGAGTAACTACTACGACTTTCGAGTTAAATAAAATGTTAACGGAAAACCGCAGAAGTCTAAGTTTTCGAAACTAAAAAATCAGGCGACTAGAAGGCTATAATAACGGGGAAATTTGGTCGCAAAAGGCCGGCAAAACCATTTGGTCCAAGACACTGCTACAATTGACTCAATTTTTAAATGAACTCAACAAGAAATCTTAGGCGACGCAATGCGACAGGACAGAGGCGTGATGTAACAGGACATAAGACAGCGCTATGCAAATACTGGACACTAGCTTATTGAATATAGATACCTGATAAGAACGAATGATTGTCTGAACCGCCAGATGCTCTTCGATCAACTTCGCGCCTGGGACTGCGGCAGTTGCAGGGCCCGCAGCGGTGGCTGCTTGGATCAGATGCATCAGATCTAGACCAAAACTACTGTCGACTCCCAGGGTGGGAGGAGGGGAGTACGCAGAACCCACAGCGGCACCATTGTTAACACTGCGAAAGTAGATATCCCAAGACTTCAAATATTATAAAATATGGACAATAATACCTTATGCACCGAGTTCGGATCTTTTATCCAGGCTGCATAAATGTCCTCGATATAATTTGCAGATGCTCCATTAAGAAAAGGTTCAGCGGCACATTTATGCTGAAATTTGTTGCAGAAGAAGACTGTACGTGACAGACGACTTGTTCGCTGAAATAACGCAGCAGCTCGAGGGAGAAACATGACGAAAAAGGAGGGCCTACTACCCACAGACTAACTGAAAAAGTTAACCAAATCACGTTAAATGTCAATATTTGACCTTACGAGTTTCGGTTCAAATTCGGGTAAGTCCAAGTACTCAATCGGTCAAAGGCCATTCATTTAGTTTGGTTCAGCTCGGTTAATTGAGATAAATAGGTATAAGCCACTGACTATCCCGTGCGCAACTTTGCCTTAATCGTAGTCTAGAGAAAAACCATGTGGATAATAATAAAAATAATTTTTATATTTAAGGCCGAGAGGGCCTTGTCATTGCTGTTAGTGCCGTGATAAAATAAGTATTTATTATTGTATTTACTATACAAATCTTCTTCATTAGATATTTTTCATTTGGAATCTGCTAATTTCTCATAATGACGAATTCTACGAAATGTCCTAAATGTAACTGCAATATCACACCTCGGACGAAAGCCGTTCAATGCCAGGGCTGTTCCTGTTGGTTCCACATTGCTTGTTTATCTGTGAACACTGAACAGTACGAAGTTCTGAAAGAATAAGATGTTCAATGCTGTGTCATCTATTGTGAGCCATGTAGAACCTAAGCTGCACTCCATCTTTCCACCATCCATGCCGGCACAGTTCAAGTAGATGCGGACGAGGAAACAGTCCTGCCTATTATAGCCCCTTCAACTGCAGATTCCGCGTTTCCAGATCCTGTTATTCGGGGTGACACGTCATGTTCTTCTCAGCTTTTTGTTCCTGTTACCGCGAAGCCCATGAAGTCAAGACGAAAGAAAGCACACAACCCACCCGCGCCTATTCCCGCCTCCGACTCGATTCCGGAGCAGACGCCATCAACTAGTGTGCCGGAACGTACAAATCCCCCGGTTGTTGCTGCAGCGCCCACATCTATGTCGGTGAAACAACCAAATACTAAGGGGAGAAAACGTGAAAGGTGTTTGATCCTGTTCAACGTTCCTGAATCGCCAGATGGCGATGCCACTTCTCGATTAAACTTTGACATATCTGAGGTCGGTTCCATTTTGCAACTGCTGTTGGAGAATGCGGTTGAGGAAATCGCGGTTAACCATATAATTCCGCTTGGTGCCAAATCAGAAAGCCGCAAACGTCCGATAAAGCTCATATTTCAGTCATCTGGGGCAGCTGAAAAATGGCTGTCAAGATGTTGTAAGCTCAAGGGCCTACCGGTATCGGTGAAACTTGACCTTTCACCTGAAGAACGTGAAAAACGCCGCGTGGCCGTCG